CAAAATTGACTCTGTACTTTTTACATTATGCAATATATATCTTCCTAATCATTTACCAGTTGCTTACTTAAAAACAATTTTGGAAAAAGTAGATGAAGTCAAAGTGGGAAAGTTAATACTGGCAGGGGACTTTAATGCTGTATTGGATCCTCAGATAGATAAAAAATTAATGAAAGGAAATACTTTAAATCAGATGGTGATAAAACAAGCAAAAGCTTTAAAAAAAATTAAAGATGAATATAATTTATTCGATATCTGGAGAATTTTTTACCCTAATGAGAGAGACTATACGCATTTTTCCAAAGTGCATTTTTCTTATTCTAGATTGGATATGATTTGGGTCGATCCAAGTATTATTGATATGACCAAAAAAAAAAGATTGATGAGATAGTTTGGACAGATCACAATGGAGTTTTTTGTGAAATTATTTTTGGTACATTTAAAAGAGAAGCCTATACCTGGCGGCTAAGAGATAATTTGCTTTGTTGTGAATCAAAAAAAACTTATATAAGAAATAATATAAAAAACTATTTTAAAGAAAATATCTCAGAAAATATTGATTCATCTATTTTGTGGTGTGCCTTTAAGGCTGTTATAAGAGGTCATATTATCAAGCTACAAAGTCAGCTTGATAAAAATAATACTTTGGCATATTTACATACAGAATTAAGAAATTTGACTCATATTAATAAACAATCTCCATCTCCTGAAATTTATGAAAAAATATTAGAACTTAAAGAAAAAATAAAGCAAAAATTAATGGATACGATAGCTAAAAATATGGATAGATTAAAACTTAAATATTACTCTAAAGGCAATCGAGCTGAAAAGATGCTATCCCAAAAACTTAGAAAACAAAAAGGACAAAATAAGGTAGATAAAATAATACAGAATGGAAAAATAGCATTAACCCCTAGAGAGATTGGAAAGTGTTTTAATGAATATTATGCCAATCTATATAATATTCCTCAGATTAATACAGATGAGGATATTAAAAATTATTTAAACAATATAAAGAAGTTTCAATTAACATCCACTGAAAATGATCTTTTGAATAAACCTATGACTATGGAGGAGATTATGAAAGCAATAAATGATTTAGAAAGATCTAAAACACCAGGCCCGGATGGGTTTAGCAACCTATTTTATAAAACATTTAAAGATTTAATATGTCCACATTTGACCTCTGCTTTCAACATAGCGGCAAACAGAGGATTCTTACCAGCAGAGATGCTTAAAGCTAATATCTTGCCCGTTTTGAAAAATGATAAAAACCCCACTGACATCAAAAATTATCGTCCGATATCTTTAATAGATGTAGACACTAAGCTATATGCTTCGGTTTTGGCTGCCAGAATAAAAAAACTTCTTCCACTAATTATTCATAAAGATCAAATAGGATATGTTCCAGGTAGAAATTCCTATACAAGTATAAGGAAAATTATTAATATCTTGGATGACGCAAATAGAAATGATGTTCCAGTTCTGACTCTGTCGATTGATGCTGAAAAAGCATTCGACAGAGTCAGCTGGAAATACTTAGAAGCCGTTTTATTACTGTGACGAGACCAATCTCGCCACATTGCATTGGAGAAGCCTGGTTGCTCGCCTGCTGCCTTTGGACTATGGCCCCCTGTTAAAAGACATCTTTTTTACCTTCAGAAAAGCTTCATTCGTGCTTTTCTGCCCAGTGTTCGGTAGTTTTGTTTGAATGTGTTATACCCCAGATAGGAATCCCATGGAGCCCATTCGTATGAAACTGACTGTAAAGACTTTGGCTCCATGGCGATTAAACTGTATTCATGTGGTCTGAGCGCCATTCGCTTAATAATGTGCACTCAGACCTGAGCTATCTGGGGATATGTTACATGTCTGAGTTTTATGTAATAAATGTTACTTTATGTATTTTAAAGTATAATACTGGTTTTGTGTCCCCACATGTGTAATGGAGTTTTGCCTTTGTCTTGGGAGATAATTGAGTTACTTCTCAATTATCTCCCAGGGCAGAGGGGAGGAAGCCAGGATGCACTGTGGGAATATACTGTGACTGTGTGTCCTATTTGTCTACTTGTCTGTCCCTTGTCACAGTCTCCCATTTGGTCCCCTAGGGGAGTGTCCACCAGGTGGGAGACCTGCATAAATACTGGGCAGGTAGCCCTCATTAAACAGACCACTGCTTGACCCTCAACACGGAGCCTTGTCTCGTCTTTGGGGGGATTTACTGTATGCTGCTAAGGACTGATTGCCAGGAGTGTAAGCCGCTTGGGAGCTTTTCCTGTTCGTCTGGTAGCAGCAATTCGTATGGTTCCTGTTCGTGTATTTGGAGTGCTACCTTATTCCCTTGTATGCCGTTCGGGAGTTTGGAGCATTCACTTGTATGCAGTTCGAGTGTTTGGAGCATTCCCTTGTATGCAGTTCGAGTGTTTGGAGCATTCACTTGTATGCCGTTCGGGAGTTTGGAGCATTCACTTGTATGCTGTTCGGGAGTTTGGAGCATTCACTTGTATTCAGTTCGGGAGTTTTGGTGATTCTACAGTAGCTGTGCCTGTCTCTGAAAGGGGATTATCGTTTAAGCGTTTTTTTCCCCTTTTGTGCAAAACGGTCCGTTACAATTACATTATGGATTGGAAGGTTGGATTAAGAAAGCTATAATGGCGTTATACGTAAATCCAGTTGCACGGACTATTGGACCTAATATTGTCGCCCCATGGTTCCAACTTAGAAATGGTACCCGGCAGGGTTGTCCCCTTTCACCATTGCTCTACTTGCTGACTATCGAACCATTGGCTGAGAACATTAGGAACAATAAAGAGATTTACGGTTATAAAATAATGGATGAGGATCAAAAAATTAGTTTATATGCTGATGACATTTTAATTACTCTCACAAACCCTAAAAATTCTTTAGAGCATATAATGCAAGAAATAGAGCGATATAGTCTTATATCAAATTATAAGTTAAATACAAATAAATCTTTGATATTAGATGTTAACTTTAATAAAAAGATGCAACAAGAGATTAAAAACAAATATGATTTTATTTGGGTTAAAGAAAGTATGGATTACTTAGGAATTAAAATAACTAGAGAGATAAATAAGATTATGGAAGTAAATTTCTTAACATTATTATTAGACCTTAATAAATGGTTAAAAGATCGTAGAAATCTAGAGATTACCTTTTGGGGACGAATAAATGTTATCAATTCATACGTCATACCAAAGTGGAATTATATGTTTCAAATGCTACCTCTCCATATTCCAATCCATTGGCTTCAATTAATACAAAGAAGTTTTACTCAATACATTTGGAAAGGCAAGAAGCCAAGATTGAAACAGTCAATATTAGTGCAGAAAATACATAAAGGTGGACTTGACTATCCATTTATAATGAATAATTTCAAAGCAGCTACTATCCTACATGTTTATAGAATGCAAATTAAAGAAAATAAAGATGAGGGATGGTATAAAATGGAATTGAAGGCAGGAGAAGTTTCTAGCTTAGATTGTTTAATTTGGAATATAAATAAAATGTCAAAGAAAAAAGAGTATACTAATATTATTTTAACTCAATTACTGGAAAATTGGTTAAAAATTAAAAAAGCAATGAATATAGAAAAAAAAGTTCCAAGTTATTTAGAGTTAGACATTGTAGAAAAACAAGTGGAAGACTTAAACTTAAATAATTGGAAAAAAGTAGGGATAATGACTTTGGACCAATTATTGATAGAAGGATCAATCAAAACCTTTGCTCAAATAACATGGATATATAATCTTCCTCCTAGAGAGGTGTTTAATTTTTTAAGACTTAAAAGTTATATGAATACACACCTTATAATACCAAAATCTAATCTGAGCAATTTGATAGATTTATTATTCACGTCAAAAAAAATCAATAAACCACTTTCTAAAGCTCTGATATTAATTAAATCAATGGTTAAAGATACAAATCCTACTGCCATACAGGTTTGGAAACAAGATTTGAATATTGATATTAATTTGAATCAATGGGGTTTTTCAATGATGGATGTTAAGAAAAATATACATTCATTAAATTTATTAGAAACGCACTTTAAAGTTTTAAATAGGTGGTACTTAGTACCAGCTAAATTGAATAAAATTTACCCTTTAATTAATCCTATCTGTTGGAGATGTAATAGTATTAGAGGCAATTTTAGACATATTTGGTGGGATTGCCATAAACTAAAGAATCTCTGGTTGAAAATACAGCATTTTATATCCAATAATTTAAAACTCGAGTTGATAATTTCTCCAGAGGTAGTTCTATTGCATCTGAATTGGCCTCATATGAGTTAAAAGCAATTCTTATACATCTTTTTTTAGCTGCTAAAATAGTAATTGCGAGATGGTGGAAAAAGGATTTAGAAGTCCCCTGGAAGAAAGTTAAAATTCAACTCGAGTTTCAGATTAGAATGGAGCTGATGCTAAGTAAACAAAGATTAAGCAATAAGGTTTCTGTTTGGTCAAAATGTATTGAGATGATTGATGTAGAAAATAATGTCGATCAATTAGAAGTAGAATAATTCCATGAACATTGTAAATAATTATGAGACTTATCTAAATGATATTACCACTCTACTATGGAAACTTTTTTGATGTATTTTTCCCTCCCCTATTTTGCTGCTATGTTGTTTTTGTATTGTAAATGTATATTTGTATGATATATGTATTTGTATGATATATGTATTTAATAAGGTTTAAAAAAATAAAAAAAAATAAAGATTAAATATTCAAAAAAATAATCTGTGCCATGGGAGGTTCTTGATGTCATTTAGAAAGGATTCAAGATTAAATTTTTTGAAGGACCTAGTTATTTTAACCTTGGGAGAGGATTTAATAGCCTTTATTTTGCGCACGCAGTACACTAAACAGTGATCACTGAAAATGTTTGGGAGAACACCGGCCTCCTGGATTCTATCAGGAGAAGTGGAGAGAATCCAATCGAGCGGTATGGTTATGGCTTTTAATGTTTACGCGAGTTGGGGAGGAGATTAATTGCGTTATCTGCAATGTCTTAAACAGCGCGCTAGAACTATTATTTTTAGGATTAAGCCAATCAATATTAAAATCTCCAAAGACCAACAGTTCACTTTTTGGGTTTTGAGCTATGGTTTCACTAAGGAGATGGGCTATGTCAGAAAGGGAAGGCACAGGGGAGCTAGGTGGGCGGTAGATTCCTGCAACAATGATTGATTTACTGCACAGGATCTCAATTGTGCCAGAAAGGAAATCAAAGGTGGCAGGAGGACTAAGGTTTTGTAAAGGGGTAACCTTTACGGAATTGTCAACATAAATGACAATGCCTCCTCCTCAGTCTTCCAGAAGGTTACCTGTTTCAAATGGCCATGGAACAGCTGATGGATCTCTGAGTTCTATGCTGGGCTGGGTATGTTTAAAAATCAGACTGTGGGAGAGAGATGTATATTAGGGTCAGATGGGCTAAGAGATTGGGGGGGGGGGAGATGGACATTTGATTTAAGGTCATTTAAGGAAAAACAAAAGCTAAGACTGAGAATTACAGAGATAAGACAGAGGTATTTAAGTAGGGAAATAAAACCATTACACAAGGAACAGGAAAGATATATGGGCCTGAGCTGGTTAAACTAACTTTTAACATGATGGACAAAGACAAAGGTGATAAAATACTTTTCATGATTAGCACAGGCTATAGTTACAAAGACATGAAAATGTATACATTGAAAAGAATAAAACTAAATAATAGTCATTAAATATAAAAACACACACATACAACAAAATTAGCAGGGTATGTAGAAATATAATGAAATGTCAGTCTTCCAGAAGGCTACCTGTTTCAAATGGCCATGGAACAGCTGATGGAGCTCTGAGTTCTATGCTGGGCTGGGTATGTTTAAAAATCAGACTGTTTCAAATGGCCATGGAACAGATGATGGAGCTCTGAGTTCTATGCTCGGCTGGGTATGTTTAAAAATCAGACTGTTTCAAATGGCCATTGTAACGGAGCTCCAGTACTCCGACCGAGTACCTCCGCCAAGTCTGCTTCCTTGTAGCTGTCAGGGACCCTGAAACAGTTCAGACCCAGACGCCGAGGCTTGACTGGGATCACTTAGGGCCTTTTCCACCCTGGAGCAAACACCAGACGACACATGTTGAAGGTTAAACAGCAATTCTTTAATGAATACAGCACACATAGTTTAAGCCCCAACAGCCTCATTTACATACTATAGTACAAGGAAGGGTGGGGTCAGACAATAGCAAGGGCTGATGGGAGATTGAGGAGGGACTAAACTGGAAAAAGGGGGGAGGGGGAGATGCACAGACCAGCAATATATTCAACATACCCTGCACAAATAATAGGCACAATGTGACTGTGGCGGAACCCGCCTCGCCACTGGACATTGTAGAGGCCTGGCTGCCCGCCTCCTACCTGCTGACTATGGCCACTGGTAAATATGTACTTTTAATGCAATATTTGGGCATGTGGTATTTTATATTGCTGCTACTGGCCCTTTAAGGGCCATCCGGGGACATATTATGACTTTTAGGAACAATGCCCTTTAACACTGTGTAGCAGATTGCATTCAGGCTGTCTTTAATATTATGTGTTTGGTAAACAGTGTTATGTGTAAGCAGGATTCGACTGATTGTTCGGTAGAATCACTCCATTCATTGTAATGAGTGAAACTACCGAACAGCCAGACCACCCAGGAATAAGTGTGCCTCCAATTACCGTTTGCAACAATGCTCCATAACCCAGTTAATTTGTGTGTTTCATTCCCTTTTCTGTGACCGACCGCAGGGCCAAAATACATGGAACTATTTTCGGATACTTTACCCATGCGGTTGGTCAAATCTTTACCTGCCCATAACGCCCAAACCCCTGGTCGGATCTGGGTGATTTTTGGATATGTTCCTCACCGAGATCAGGGCTACCAGGTGGTACCTACCCCCCATATTTGGGGTACATCCAAGAATTGGGGAAAAGTGTGTACTTTATAATTATGTTAAGTATTAATGTAAGGGGAGGAGATGTGGGGGAGGTAACATCTATGGGATTAGCTGTTGTAATGATTATTGTAAATCCCTCCCTTGCATGGGAGAATGTCTTAAAAGGAGGTGGTGTGAATAAATCTGCAGTTCCTGCTTAACCCTCAAAGTGAAGTGTCATCTCATTATTGGGAAAGGATTTATTGTATGATGTTCCAGTTTGACTGCTAGGAGTCTAAACCCATCCGTATGGTTTTTGCCTATTCAGCTGTTTATAGCATTCAAATGCTTGAGAGTACTCACATGCTTCTCTGGTTCGGTGATTGTGGTGTCTGCCAGAGTGCTTGGAGTCCTCAGGAAATGCTAGGAGCATCCTTTAACGGAGGTACCCAGTCGGGGTGTCAGGTGATCCGTTACAGTGACAAAACACAAAAGGAATTTGGGAGCCCACCCATAATGTCTGTCTTCCATCCCCGGTGATGGTGACTACCGTCACATATCTTCCCCCCCAAAGGTAGACTAACCAGGTACCAGACATCCAATCGGTCTGTGACTGAGTTAGTCGGGTAATAAGTCCCAAAAAGTCCATCCATCCTGGCAGCCTTTTCGACAAAGTTCCACATAGTTTGTAAGTTTGTCCCTGTCGGGAGCATGGAGAACTCATAGCTGATCAGTCTGTGGAAGTCTGGTTTGGGCAGGCCAGACTAGGCTTCTAGGTCACCCGGTGCCTCTAATAAGCACAGGGTGACTTAGACATAAGAGAGGACTTGGAAGTGGAGAAAGGTAGTTCCCAGTGAATCTGCCATGGCCCCCTTCCCAAACTCAAACCTATCCCCATATGACTCCACTCTTAGGGGGCCACTGTGACCCCCAAAAACCCCAATAGCAATTCTGGAACCCTGTATCTCCAGCTCGGAATAGATTCCAGCATATTTCTTCCCTTTCAGAAGGAGACCAATACAGGAGACCCCAGACGAGTTGACTCTGAAGTTAGTGACTTCATTCAGATCATCAAGGCCATCACCGAATTGGTACCCCAAACAAATTGCCCATGGAAGAGCAGCACTTACCCAGCCGACCTCTGCATCTACTAAAGCATATACCTGGCGATGCGTGCCCACTGTCCTCTGTAGCGGAGAGGCAATATTCCTCAGGGTATCTCCGCTTATAATCCAAGTGAGGCTCAGGAAAAAGTAAATAATAAATCCACAGGCAAGGTTTCCAGCAGGTAAAATAACAGCAATATCCCCACAGCAATCCCAATAACTGGACGACACACAGTTTCAGGAGCAGAACTGAAAGCTTTAATCCACAGTCTCCTTTTAAAGCATGCTCCCATGCAAGGGAGGGATTTACAATAATTATTACAGTTGCCAATCCTGTCCTGGTAACCTCCCACACATCTCCTCCCCTCAGCCAGCATCATAATCCCCTTATCCAGTACAGTAATTCCCCCCATTTCTGGATGTACCCCTAAACGTAGGGGTACCTCTTTAAATCCTACATCCCCGGATACCCCTGATCTGGGTGAACAACATATCCAAAAATCACCCAGATCAGACCAGGGGTTCGGGAAATGTATGGAGGGAATAAAATGACCGACCGCACTAACTGAGATAGCCAAATAAGGTTCCATGCGAATGGGCCCTGCGGTCGGTCCTGGCATAAGGGAATAAAATACACGAAAGCCTCTAGCTATAGAGGCTAGGGAGGGTTTGCCTGAATCCCCTCGTTCGTTTTTTTCTATCTACCGAACGAGGGGCCATTCAGTAGTTAGGAACCGAATGGACCGGGCTTGTGGAGGTCTCAGCGGTGTTCGCCTACTCGAGTGTCCGATTTTAGTTCCAGACACTCGACGGCAAAACAAAGGACGGCTACTTACTAGGCAATTACCCGTTCGCAACAATGTTGCAACGGGTAATTGAGGACACACTTCACACAGGGGAGGTCTGGTTGTTCGGTAGTTTCATTCGAATGAACTAAGGGAATAAAACTACCGAACAATCAGAGGAATACAGTTCTTTTAAACACATAGAAAACCAGCAGATCACACGAATGCAATTATTCACAAGACATTTGCAGGACAGCCCAGTGCCATCCGCTACATCCTCTCTCCCTGGATCTCTCTCAGCCGCTGGAGGGTGGCTAGGCCCCCTCTGACATGGGGTTGGGGATCAGAGCTCATTGTCCAGCCTTCCTGGGGACTACAGGTAGAGACCAGAGTCCCATCCATTTGTATTGGATAGAGATCCCCCAGTGCTTGTGGCAAAGGGCTGAGGTTAGCCGTGCTTTGCTCTGGGATCCGCTCTTCCATGGGACCAGCAGTGTCTGATGCCTGAGGCTTGCGGGTTACCAGTGGGTTTGGGCAGAGGCAAGTGGAGCTCTGCCCCGATGCCAGCGCTTCAG